TTAATATAAACTATGAATATATCTACTTAGTTGATGGGTTATAATTTAGAAAATCATTTTTAGTGGATACATTTTCAGAAAATATATTTTAGACGATGAAAATGTAATACATAATTATTATTGATTACAGACAATAAGCATGATGTACATGATGTACCTTATTGTAAGTAAGAATACGATTCTGAATATGTCAAATGAATTCTACAATTATGTCTTTAAAAATTTAAACCAACCGTATACTATATGAATATTTCGGTTTGATTTAATACATTTATAAAAATGTTTAATACTTCATGTAAACGATACAACTTTCATGATCTTTGACGCAATAAAATCAAATTAGTCTAAAGTTGGGTGGAATTCAAAAATATGGTTTCGAACCAAATTGAAGCTGAACATTTTAACCAAAATTATTTTGCAGACTAAAACTTTTTGTTGTTATGTTAAACCAAAAATAATACAACCAATTTAAGACCTACTGTTGAAGTTTTAAGTTAAATTTAGTTTTATTAGTTATAAGTTTATAACTTAAATCTATTTATTACTAGCTTGAAACGTTTGGCATTTTTAGCTCTTCAATATTTTATGTTTTTTATATTTCAAACTTTTTGTTATGAGTTCAGATGGGTTCAGTTGTTTTGACACTAGGTTTCTATTTTCAATTCAATTCAAAAACCTAAAGTCGATTCAATCATTTGAATTTCAGACGGTTCGTCTCACCTTTCAAAATTACATATTTTTTTTGATTTTTAGAAGTCATTCCAATACATTTTTTAAATTGTAAAAATATATTCATACAAAACTTTCTTTACTTTTAGATTCTTTTAAACGATCTACTGAGGACACAGGTAAATGATATAATATGAAAATTGTTCTATTGAAAAATTTAAAAGTAAACAAAAAAGCATTTTTGATATGGTTAATGAAGGATATATATACATAATGTCTCTGAATTTCTTCCAATATTCACTTTCAATCGTTCATTAAAATAAAGCATTTCCATTTTTGGATGTTCTACAAAACTAATTAAAAAAGTATATATTTGAAATTTTCTGATTTCTCTATGATTTCTATCAATTTCTTCCATAGAAGTTTAATATTATTCAATAATAGCATATGATTTAGGTACGTTTTCTACATTTTTTCAGACCACTAAACACTAAAAACCCACAAATAAATAGGCTAACGTGATCTTCGTGATAATTTATTTAGTTAGTGGAGCAAATTTAAAATATATAATTCAACGATATTTGTACAACAATTCAGTTTGTATTTATATTTTGTGATGTAAAAAAGTGTTATAATGGTGTTGGCAGTACATTTTAAATACATAATTTTAAAAACAACAATTGTCTAAGTATTCCAAAAATTGTTCAATTAGCTCTCACACACGATTTTTGACATTGGTGAAATCGATTTTGATTGGAATTGCGACCTTTGCTTAAAGTTCGCTGTAGGTAGGTACTTAGAAATATTTTAAAAACAATAGTTGTCCAACGACCAACAAATTTACAACGCCGATAAAAATGCTGAAAGAACTTTGAAATTTAGTAGGTACCTAACTTATATTTTAACTATTTATAAATCTTAATACCTTGGTATATTATTTTTTCTTGCAGCGGTGACCACTAAATTGAATCCTTTGGACGCAATGAGAACATGTTAGTAAACACACAATTTTCCGTTAAAAATGTTATCATATTATAGAGTTAAGACATTTTCAAACGATTTAAATTTGTATGCTGAACAGATCCATTTGAATTTTAAAGTATCCATTACTATTATGACGGTATTTTGATTTTATAAGAGTAGGGATCTCTCGAAAATTTTTTTTTATGAATATCTGCCTTTGACCGAGTATGCCACGAGGGCCTTTTGTTTTTTAAGTTTGAAAATGAAATTAAAAATGCAACTGATCCTTAAGAATTCTGAATTAGGTTGGGTTAATAAATTCACGATAATAACCAATTCCAAGAATTCGGAGAAATCAATTTACTGAAATTAGAAGATGATCAAAAATATACTTCTTATGCTATTATAAAATGCGCAATGAATCATCAAGGAAGAGTATTTTTTTTAGATACAAAACACAATTCAGAATACAAAAAAAAAAATACCTCAAGCAAAATCTCTGGGAAATTATATTATAAAAACCGTAATTTTTAAAATACCCAAATAACAATTTGAATGGAATTGAAAAGAGTCGAGTGTGTATATTTTGTATTTATAGTGTATATTAGTATAATTATACTATATACTATATTTATACTATATTTTATAGTGTGCATTTAATAGGTATTTTACTTTCACGAATTAGCATTAAATATTTTGATCTATAAACTAAACTGATTAGTTAATATTTTGCATACAAATAATGATATAACATGTTACTGACATGAATAATAGTTGTGTGGTACTCACACGAATGAATAATGATTATGTACTGGTGAACCATACTAACTCAAATAAAAGTATTGCATCCATGCTATTGAATTATGAAAGAACACCTTATAAATGTTCCATTAACAATTATTTGGAGTGATAATTATTATTTTTTAAATGATTAAGATAATGAAAAATTGATCAATAGTAATGTAGTGATCCAGCCTACAGATGTTGATGTACAAAAGCGATGGACGACAAAGTGTAATAATTTCAAGTCAATTTTATAAGTTTGAACATACACTTTATTTTGAATGTAAATACTGTTGGAATAATTTTTATATAACTGAAGTGACCCCAGTGAGTCGATGCTTGTACTGGCTCTGACAAATCACGTCTGCATGTCGTGTTGCGGGTTCCCTGTTTTATAGGCCTAATCTTCACTCCTCTCCAATAGACAATATAGCTTAACTATCGCACGTGTGCGTACGAGTTCCAATAAATGGTCTCGTCCCACGCGCCTTGCGATGTCACGATTCGATATCATATTATTCGGCTTACTTTAAATAATATTTATTTTTTATATTAAATTCGTGACAACGTTTCTAGTTTTATATATTCATATGTATTTCGCAACGCAATTTCTCTTGTCTAGTTCTTACAACTACTAAATTAACTATTTTGTTGTTATTGTAGCTTTACCCGAAGTCGATAACATTCTAGCCCGTCTAATTGCCAATTGGATACTCCTTAATATGACGTTCCTTTTGCCTACCGCAATTATATATGTATATGGCGGGACGTCGGTACATGAAAGTAATTAATATAATATTATGGTGTAGGTGCCCGAAACATTAAATACAAGGTTATAATATTTCAAACATCGTTCAATAAAGTTCGACAATTATTTTTTTTGGTTAAGTTTTGTAGAATAAACGTTGTTCTGAAGTATTTATAATAATTAATAATTCATTTATTCAAAATATTTTTAATTTGTATTATTATTAATTCCAATTGTTCTATTATTTTTCATACAACAGTCTGTAATGGTGTTGATCAAGAAATGTTGGGTTAGTAAACTCAAACAAGTTGTCCTTTAAAAATGTTATTTGTATAATATTGTTGAGACATTTGCAAATGATCCAATTGTGTAAGCTAAATAAATCTATTTAAATTATACTACCAATTAATTTTCTGAAGATTTTTTATTTTAATACCTATCATAGTTTCTGTTTATTATATTATTAATGTTTGATTTTTAACAAATCTAGAAAATTTCATTGGCATCTGACTTTTGTAACAATATCAATTATGGATTATTAAAAATTGGTTTTATAAATTTAATACATTATGAATAATACTGTAATGGAGGATGGAGTGGCCGGTGGACTAAGGTTTCCTAACCCTAATCTAACGGGGGGCACTTTTCGTCGGGCATACACCTGCCTTGAGAGAAAAGCATCCCTCGACAGGGTGTGATAGAAACCTACGGGTGCTCAATCGAAATTCTGCCCAACACAAATGTTGACATTTCTAGAAATCTGATTGAATGTTTTACATACCTACAAATTTTCATTATTTTTCTATAGATTATTTTCATGATAATTTATAAATTTACATACTAAAATATTGTACATATGTTTGTTTATAAAATGATTATATGATGTATTAATGATTTAATGGACTTTTAATTATGAACAGATAGTGATTACCAAATATTAAGAAAAAAAATATTTAGTGAGTATGGAATTTAATGTAGTTTAAACACAAGAAACATTTATATATGTTTAAAAATAATACTACCATAACTAGGACTTAGTAGTTGCTTGTGTTAGATTTTAACTTTTAAGAAAATCAAAATTAAAGATAAAACATAGTCTTTTGTAAATAGAGTAAATAGTTTTATTTAAGATGAACCTCTCTTTCAATTCACGAATTTGCATAGCTATGCCATATTACGTATGTATAATTTTATTCTAAAATGAGTACATTTAATATTTTATAATTGAATAATTGTAAAATGGATAACTTTAAAATGTCAATACTTATAATAATACATCATTAATTTCAATATCTTTCCATGTTTAAGTTTATCGATATCACTGAATGGATTTTGTGACATGTTTGCCATTATTTACATTCAATTTTTTGTATAATACTAGCTGGCCTGGCAGACGTTTTCCTGTCTTAATTATGAATATTGAATTCGAATTGGTATAATAAATAAAAAAAATATTATAAAAAAAAAAAAATGTTTATTGTTCTAATGCTTTATGACGTGCAAGCATTCTTAGTTTTTTATTTCTTGCGTGTTTATAAATAGTTGTTTTGGTATTCCGATACGCAATCGCTCAGTTTCAACTTTCACGTACACATCCACATCACATTATTGGTGCAAGAGGCGAAGACATTTTAAGATATGACTGTCCTCATTTTCCCGAACCATCAGTCTGTATGAAAAATAAGCCATTGCACTAACTCTTTCATTAGTTTCATTACCTGTAACTGGATTTATCATCTTCATTCAAAAATGATATCCATCTTATAATCTTCAACTTGCCAAAATAAAATTGGATATTGTAACGCATCATATGATCGATGTATTTCGGACACACGCTGCAGTTGATTGTTACTCCAATGTATAATAAAATCTTGGTTTTCTAAATTTTCACCCACTACGACGATAGCGACTTCGTCAATATTATTAGTGAATTTAAACTAAAGTGTTAGGCTGCAGGCGTCTTATCAGCTTTGATGACAATTTCGTGATTATCAGACGGCATGTGGTCCAAAGCGGTCTTGAATAATGCAACCAATTCGTTATGTTGATGAAATTAAGTTTGGAGTTGTTCCACAATATTGGTATTTTGCACGGAATTGTTGTTGGCATACAATTTTCTCGAATAACTTTTGTTGCACCAAATGACGACGTGATTTGTAAACAATTATTGTATTGCTGAATATGAGTCAAAAATGTCTAGAATCTGGCCCATTTCCAGAAACCAATGAATGTAGTGGCTCTGGTGGCGTCAATTTAACTTTACCATTCGCGCCACACAATCCAAGAGCTTCATTTTTAAACATAAATGCCTCGTAAAATTGGCACACAACGTTCATTGGTCAAATAGCAACGACTTGCAGTGAACTGTAATCGATTTCCACGTTACAATTGAATATAGGTCGATAGGGGTTAAACGCAACATTTCTATGTTGTTGATTTCGGTTCCATCGATTCCGCTTCATTCCGCGCTTGGCGTTCTTCGTTAGTTTGACTTGCCCTCGTACATCATTGATTTTGCAGATTATTTATCTTTTGCATTGCGAGTTCTGCGATGAATAATATCTTTCTTAAATGTATAAAATGTTATCGTAATACTTTTTTCCAACTTACACTTGTAGTTTTCAAGTGATATTAAAATGAGTAAATATATTTAAAAGTTATTTTGTTTGCAGAACAATCTTTAATTGTGGACGAAAATAATGGTAAGTATTTTAATTATTGAATAATTTACAATTCAATACATAATACTAAGCAACTATAAGAAATGTTTTTTTTTCTTTTGTTAATTGCGTCACTTTAAGTATTTATATCTAGCTAATGTATTTTATACATAGCTTCTATTAGCAGGTATAGAGGTAGGTATCCAACCGGTAGTTCTTTGAATTTGAGTTCTTCAATATTACTTCCTAGTCGATGTGTTTGTTTGAAGTGTAGACGATTGGACGTTCTTTTTGTTTGTCTTGCATCTGACGTCATGTTTTCCATGGCTTATAGCTGACGGTGAATATGATATGTGATGAGGTACGTGTAGTGGAGAGGTATAACAGAGAGCGGTAGCGACTTGAGGCCTGGCTGGTCTACTTGCCTCGTGGTCGAAAGGGATGAATTAATGTAGTAATTTGCTAATCGGACGTGTGCTGTTGACCTTCTGTATTGAGACTATTGAGATACTTTATATCGTGTACGTAATCTAAGTTTATTGATACTTTGTTTTACCGATAAAGATAAAGTGGCGTATGTCTTATAGTTATACACGTGCGTCGCTTTTAGTACCGATCGTGATTTCGTGCAGTCTTCACTGTTTCCTCAAATCTCGATTATACAATAAGTATAAAAATAAACACTATGCATCAATAACGGCGTATGTAAATAATCGAATTTTTCAATATACTCAAAACCATTATTGCTTCAGGTTAAACAACTGCTAAACTCGAAAACGCTGATATGCACCAGTACTTGAAAGACGATATTCGATAAACTGAATTTCAGAAAATAAAATGAACTACGATGATGACTTGTCTAGGTTTGGATTTGCTTTGTATGTGTAATCTGTATCGATATGAAACTTCATTCTGGTCGTGTGAAGTATTTTATTAAGAACTTTTCTTATGTTGAGACTGGAAGCACCAGAACTTAGCAGCCTCTAGCAGCATTTGCTTTATGGACAGTTGAATGAATATGTTTCAGTAAATTAAATTTCTATCAATTTGATCACCTAGATATTTTATCGAATTTGAAGAATATTCTTATTGGTTTCTAATTTGGATTTCAATTGTGTTGAATAAAGATATTTTTGACAATAAAATGGTGGAGGTTTTGAGTGGATTGATTGTAATTTTCAATTCTGGAACCAGAGTACTGCTAAATAAATTTGTCACTAGGGTTGGTTCACCGTTCAATACGTTAGTGCGTCTCGATTACTCTTCTTGGCACTGCAAACTGGAATGTATGTCAAATACATGGTCCTGAGCGTATACTGTGATCGGCCGGTTTTGCCGCGTGAAAACCACACCGATTAGAATTGTTCATTTGTTCCTGCGTGTGTCGGTAATGGTTTCTTTTGTCATAATTATGAGGTTTTATCAGTGACTGGGTTTTATGGGTTTTGACATGAGTTATTAATTCTGACAAGAATTGTTTTACTTAGTGTAATTATGTGTTATGTGTTTATTCATTGTGTAGCATTTTGTATCAAGATTGTAAAATAATTTTGAATGAAGGTACCCTAGTTTACTGCTTTATGAATTAAATGTTTGAAAAATAAAATGACAATAGGTATAGATAAAAATAAAAATATAAATAAATATGTTTCATTTTATTTTCAGAAATAGGAAAAGTTTGGAATGATACTCTTTCATTAGGAACTGATACATACATAATTAAATTTCATAACAATCTATTAACCAAATATAAGGTAAATATTTTAATTTATATTATTAATAAGCCTGTTTGTGATTAAATATAAATGCATTGCCCAGGAATCCCAAATATTATTTATTGTTAGAACTTTCCAGTTTCGCATGGTCATTTGATACAAAATAATAGTCAATCAGTATTGGTAAAGTAGTTAACAGTTAATAAAAAAACGATACAATACATTAGTAGACTAAAATAAAATATTTATTGACATAATAATACACTAATATGTTATATGACTTTAAAGTAACATAAAGGACGCTCACGTCTGTGGCTACATTACGACTGTTTGCACTAAGTATGGTCGGAATGGTTCGGAATGAATAACAATAATAATAATAATAATAATAATAATAATAATAATAATAGTGATTCCATAAATACATATTAATACATGGGATCATATTTTCAATATTTTATAACAATTCATTGCTCCATCGATAAAAATACTAAACTTACATTATACAAATATCATAGTCCCTACATATTGGGACAATAATTATTTTTTATTTTCACATTTATCCCGTGTATAAACTTTTTGAAAATTATTATAAACTAATGACATAATAATAATAATAATAAAAGATATATATTTTTCAAACATAATATACCGATGCAAATACATTATCCGACTACATTTGATTTTATTCACCTACATATGATATTCTTGATATTTATTTATTTTTATCAACTACTTTAACGAAATACATTTGAGGCTAATTTGATGTTTCCTGCCAATCATTCATTAACATTCTAATGATTCTTCACCATTACGTTATCGTCAAATACAAAATATGTATTAATTTCCTGCATATCTTATGTTATTCTTATCTTATTTTTAAACATTGAGGATCTTAATATCGATAAACGTGATAAAAGTGGTTGAATATTCAACTCTAAAACTAATGGACTATGACTCTAGTTGTTATAGTATTTCGAAAAAGAAATAAGAACTTATTCACTTTACTTTTTTTTTTTTTATTTTATTTATCTCCACTGATTATTTTTTTACCAACGCTAGGATTTGTTAGTCCAAGCATATGTATTATACATTTTACGTTAGTACATTCACTATTCACACGAGTCTCATGGAACCCATTATCGCTAACACCAATTTTTAGAAATTCAAACTAGTGAAAACCACTATTTAAATATTTGATTACTTGACTGACAGATCATCTAACAATAACAATTTCATCTTATTTATTTCAAAAATATATACAAGCACAATGTTATATGAATTATTTGACTTCGGCCAATTCATGTAGGTACTCTTAATAAATCTTATTTATCTCACATTTACTACATTCTACGTTCATTACTCAATAGTTCGATGTAATTTCTTATTGTATTTTGACACTCATGAACAGTGTTGAAAATGATCAACATATTTTTTTTTTAAACAAGTCATATATTTGTGTTCTGTAGATACTCATAATCAATTTATTGTAAATAAAAATATTTTTAGGGTACAGAATTAACGATACCGTTTAGAGACTATATGGTGTTTATTCAATCATATTATAATGCAGCAAGTATCTATTATTTTTCGAGGATGTATGAAAAGGCACTCATAGTGATAGAAGATGGTGAGTATGATAAATATATTTGTATTATTATTATCGAATAAATAATATAAAATCGAAAAAAGTAAATTATTCTGTTTATTTTTCATGTTATTATTAATGCTAAATTAATAAAACTAAGATAAATTATATTGGACGGAAAATTTTTTCTAATCAATTTACATGTTTACCTGATAAAAAAAAATATTATATTATTATAACTATCTTTCTAGGGTGCAAAAAAAATATACTGCTTTCTTAGTTCATCGTGGACAGTCATTCCAATACTATAATATTACATTAACAAAAAATTGGGGCCCCCTCCCCAGATGTTTCCTCTGGATCCGTGCCTGCTTGGTACAATTAAAATTTAAAATATAAAACAAGATTAGTATTAATAATGTAAATGAATAATAATGATGTTAAAATATTATGAATACAAAATAGTTAATAAGCTCTAGATGATGGAGAAACAAGATTATTATATTTTAGACATTAATGAAAGTATTATAGGTTTCAATGGATAATAATGTAATGAGGAAAAATTTTAATTGTAAAATATGTAAAATCAATTATTTAGAGATAGTTTCTTTGTCTATTAACGCAATAAGGACTAAAGAAAAAAGTATAATTGGTGAACTGATAATTGAATTAAGATTTTTAATGAAGTTTGAGAAGGTAACAGAAAAAGAGTCTGTGGGAAAGTTTTGATTACTGGTAGTTTCTGCATATATCTTAGTTCTATAAATTGGTTGGAGGATCTATTAGAAAGGTTTTTCACTCTTCTGATAAATTGGACTTCCCCTGAAATTAACAGTGAGGTCTCAAAATTTGGTTTTGCTGTTCCGGGCTATGGTACACATGTTCGTATGATGATTTTTTCTCCATAATTAACTCAATAGATGGGGTGATCACAATAATTCTTAGTGTTACCAAAAGTTTGACAATTATGACATTGCGTTATGCTACGGCTTGTTGAGAATAGTTTTTCAATCACCACTTTGGTATTAAGTAACGACTTAATATTATAAATATCTCATTATTCACATTATGGAAAATTTCCACAAAAAAAACTTAGGACGGAAATGTATAATTATCTTCGGAATTCTAAACGTATTTAGTTTAATATCCTAATTCAGCTGGAGCAGAAGAGATATCAGTGAATAAGATAGAGAAGTGTAAATTTCTAATTAAGATCTTGTAAGAACGTTGAAAACTTGGGACAAATGTATGGAACTGTCGTTAATGCCATTTAAGAGTTCTACAATTTTGTTGGAGTAACTACAATCTATAGGTTAAACGATGAAGTATGAAGGTTTTCGCGTGAATCCGTGTGGGCTAGTAATATTTGTGAGAACATAGTTGAAAAATTTTTTATGTAGATAGTTGGATCTGAAAAATCAATTCCTTCAGCAGAGTTAGGTGGAATGGCAATATCGTCTGTATAACAGGTTGAAATAGTATGGTTTTCATCACCAGTGTCGTAGTTGGAGAGTAATTCGTACTTGTTAGTGAGATGAAAATGTTTGATTTTTGACTACCACGATAACAGAGAGAAAAGATACGACAACTGCCTAAGCTAGTAGTTCTCCCGGTGAAAGGTGGCTGACCTACACACGTTGTTACATACTTCTGCGGATGTACAAGCAGCAAACAAGGTTGTGTTGATATATTCTGTGATAGTAGTTATTATTGTATAGTATTCTGCAATACATCTTAAACCTGCATTTTAATTAACATGCTAGTTGATAACTAAACTACTCTATGGTTAATATACATTTTAGGTACAAAAAGAGCATACATAGTGAGGACAGTGAGGTGACCAGTATAACCCACTGACCGGTATTCATTATATATCCCCCATAAGAATATAATAATGTAAATATCTACTAAGTACCTTGCTATATTTTGTGTTTGTTTAGCATTGTATTATTTTGGGAGCTCTTAGAAAGGCTGTATGTTACTTGCGTCCCTAAAAAAGTATGTTTTTTGGGTAGTAAATTTCCTCGATTTGGGACTAAAGTCTGCTATATAATTATTATCGATAGTATATACTAAAATCACTAAAATCGATATTATCGTGTCACTAAAATCAATAAACTTTGTTGTATAATAAACCTCACTATTTGTGGGATGATCCATGATCCGTTGGATTGTTCGGTCAAGTGATAATAATATTAGTATTCGGTTTAATGTGTGCGAGTGCATGTGTTACTTACTTACACAGATACATCACTCGATGTAGATACAATTTTATCCATACCTATCGTGGTATATTATAATAATTAGGTATATTATGATAGTGCATTATATTAATATAATATGTGGGTATTATTTTATGTGAAGAAGGTATGGGAACATGTATACATAATACAACTTGTTGGTTGTTAGATTCGATAAGATATAGCAATTACTTTTTACTTATACAATTAATTATAAAAATCTTTAGTATTTTACTCGTATTATATTATCACATTCCCGCTTTATTCAGTACGATTCGTCAGATTAGAGCGATAGTGGTTTTCAAAATTCAAAACATTTGATTACATTTTTTTTAGGCTATGGAAAAAATTTGAAGTACAAAATTGGTCCCGAATAATGGTTTTTATATAAATAATGGTTATAAGTTCGGATATCATAAACAGTTAAGCAATAATAATGTTCGATGGGAGTGTACGACTAAAAGCTGTAATAGTTAAATAAAACTAGATATTCATCAAAATGTACTAAGTGATGCTACTTCACATACTGCTTGCCATACTCCAGATGACACCACTCACCTTAATTGACTAAAACTAAGTATTGTTACAAACGAAAAAGCCTTTCGGATCTCAGCACAAGATGTTCGAAAATTATTGGGCGATTGTAAACTCTCCCGATTTTAATAGCATGTAAACTCTCCCGATGGTAAACTCTCCCGGGTCTGCTTTAATACTACCTGATTGAAACATGTAAACTCTCCCGGGTCTGCTCCAATACTACCTGATTGATCCATGTAAACTCTCCCGGGTCGACTTCAGTACTACCTGACGGGAACATGTAAACTCTCCCGGGTCTACAATAACTTGTGGAGCATGGGCATTATTCGTATTACGCAGTTGGTAACACTATATAAAATAATTCAGTCTGTCGCCTGTTATCATAATACGTTATTATCACAATATCATTTATTATTTGTGTATTTAATATTTATCATTATAAAATAGTAAGTTTTGTACAGATTACGGACTCCATAAAATAGTAGTCTAGTCTCTAATTTGTATTTATATTTTTTAATTACGTTTGTAATTGTTATTAAAAATAAAATATGTACTCACCTTGCAAACTTACTTTCTTTTAAGTTAGAATATTGTATAATTGTTTTTACTTATTTTCTTTCATACTTTTTGCTTATCAATATAACTTTTTTTTTTTTAATAACTTCTTTCACATTGACAATTAAAATGTATCCGCATAATGTAATGGAAAGTAAAAAAAAAGTGGCAGCAGAAATTTATTTTTAAATCATCATCAAGATTAAATATTATACATAAAATATAAAATAAAAGTAACAGTATAAGCAAAAAACACATTTGTATTATAATAAATGGTAGAACATCAACTTTCAGTTTGTATTAAAAATCAAAATTGCATTAAAAAAGTCAGTTACCTATATAATAGTAATAATAAAAATCAATGCCTTTAACTTCCATGGTCAATAATTATAGTCAAAATACAAAAAATAAAATAAATTTCATAAAATTTCATTAAAAAAGTCAATTATAATATTTTATTCAAAATACTATTTTTTGTAATAATAGGAACATACTGATTTCAAAAAACTTAAGGTATCTATTTGTTTGTCTGTATAGTCTTTTATTTTTTGTGCTATTATTTTTTCTTTGTTTTTTGTATGAGAGTTTTTACTTAATTTATTTTGTTTGTTATAACTTTGCATTTTTATGTATACTTCATTTTGAAAATCTGTTAGGGCATTAATAAATATAAATAGAGATGGATGAATACTAGAGAAAGATGAATTGAAATGTGAATGGAACGATTCACAAGCGTTTGTAGTTTTTGAAGTTGATGATGATGCTGAGGCCCACATTGTTGGAGGATATGATGCTTCTTCATCAATATATGTATTAACTAAATACGATGCAAAAGTTTCTAATTTTTTGTTTTGTGGAGGCATTATTGCAGCTAAAGTGAATACATAAACATTCCCAACTTCATTTGGATCTATGAATACTAATCCAAAAATATAATGCAGCCATTTTCCAACTTCACTAGTGTCATCTCTGTATTCTACAGAAAGGCCTAACTCTTGGATTTTTCTGTACCATGCTTGTGTGAGGTGAAATCTACAACACTCTATTTTTGTTTCAGGCCAAACATTTAAAACAGCATTATGTATAGACTTTTCTAGATCTACTATTACCGTTTTAGGAGAAAATATTAAATTCATTTCAGCACATTTATCAACTAAAAACTTGAATACTCGCTCATAAGATAAGGGAGATTTATCTGATAATAAGCAAAATATTAATGGTATATAATGACCATTTATAAATCCGTGTAAAGTCACCAATTGTTTAAAAAACTTTGTGCAATATGTAAACGTGCCATCTAAATAAACAGTTTCTGAATTTGTTAAACAATTTAAATTTGAAGAGCATGCAAATATAATTAAATTATGATGTTCGTCATTTAACAACAAAAAATTTTCATTTTTTGAAGTTTCTACTTTAAACGTTTTCAGTATATCATGAATTTCTTGAATATTTTTGGGTAATGCTGGAAAAAGTTTACGTCTTGCATTATACATATTTCTTTTAATTCTTAATAAGTCACTGGTATCAATGGCATCACTATTACTTTCCTGCAAAACTTTACGTAATAGTTTCCGTGGAGCATCAGATATATTTTCGATTGCTTTTCGTTTTCCCGATTGCGTTATACATAAACGTTGAACTTTTTGCTCGTTAGAAACGTGATTGTGTTCTAAATTTGATCTTGAGACAACTTCCCTATCTAAAAAATGTATGTATGAATATTATTTATAACTATAATATTATGTATAATAGTTTAGCAATTTCTATATACCTAAAACCTAATCAATAATCATACAATTGAATTTAGTAATTACATACCAATAATATATATAAGTGCTGTGCATTTATTCACACTACATTTCCATTTGACTTCACCAGTTGATGATAGTGTTGATTGCTTATGGAAAATAAATGAGGACATGATCAACACTTCTTTGTCCCGTTGACTTAAAACATACTTAAAACTTGGTTGAGCCATTATTAAAATCAATATCGTTTTAAATATTTAAATTAAAAATAGGTTAACGGTAATTAAATATTTAAATTACAAATACAGGTTAACAGTAATACAATTGATAATAAATATTTAAAATGATAATTACAATATCTGCAGTGTAGCCAATAGTGTGGCAATAACATTTTAAACAACTCGGGACAGTTTACACATTTCTTTTAAGTAGGTAAACATAATGTTGCCCGGGAGAATTTACACATTTGCTTCAGGTAAACTTAAAATTGACCCGGGAGAGTTTACACATTTTCTTCAGGTAAACATAATTTTGACCCGGGAGAGTTTACCATCGGGAGAGTGTACTAGTTTTAAAAACCGGGAGAGTTTACCATACAATCGGGAGAGTTTACCACCGCCCAAATTATTACATCGATATAATCGGGACGTAATGAGGTTGTAAAAAAAGGTATACGGTGACGCGAATAGGCTATGACCTTATTTTGAATCTTCTTTGGGAGGACCCAACTGATAATATATTGGCACGCAATTAGTATGCTCGCCTTAAAATGGGTGCAAATATTTCGGCCAATCCGTATTTCAGCTGAAAAAGTATAACATGGACAATAAAATTAGCATAACCGTATTTAAGCCGACAGTTAATATTGGGAGTTGTGACAAACTTGAGCTGGTGCAATACTATGGACTGTGTTTTTACAAGTGGGCATCACTACTGGATCACTGGTATATATATAATATCCATATCCATGGTTACCACAATAATATTATTACCATGCACATTTACCATTAAACTGAAATATGGGTCGGGTTAAAAATTTACCGACTTAAATACCTATCGGCTAAAATACGGTTCGGACAAAATAAGTTTCGAATAAAATATGGTTCTGATTAAATATTTGTTTTCTTAAATAGTTTAAAATTAAATATGTTTTAGCCTTAATATTGTTGGATGAAATACTTTCAACTGAAATAGTGTCAGCTAAAATATTTTCGGATTTTTTATAGTGCCTCCATTATTTCATCTGATATATTTCTGATTATAATGTTGTTTTTTTTTTAAATAAACAAATTATTCAAATGTCTTAAAAATAATACTAATGCAGGTAAACATTGAATTTAGATGCCTTTGAAATATTTGTTTTTAAATCAAAAATTATACTTTGTGTACACATTTTAATAATGAATTATCTTTTAACATGTATATGTCTATTTCATTATCATCGTATATTTATGTAAAAATGTTTGATTTATATTTTTAAATACTTACGTATCTAAAAAATATATAACTGTAGTATTAAAAATATGATTTGTGTTTTCAGGTGTGAAATTCAGTTGTAAAGTTTTTAGTAAACGTTTTAAAAATGATCGTAGTATTATAGATAAAGGGCAGTTCAATGTATGGAGTTGGCTGTTCCGGCTATTAGTACAAGACATATCAAAAAGGATTCCTGAGACTACACTTAGAAACATTTTCAAAATATCAGATATAGATGAAAAGTTATACCATCCCAAATTAAAAATTGAAAATCAAGTCTTCCCCAGTTCAGTAGTATTATTCTATCGAAGATATTTCTTAAATGATGAAGTATGTACAATCGATAAATTAAACATCAATTAAATATAACAAACGGTATAAAATACCCACCTTAATAATTCTTACTTTTACATATTTGTGTAATATATTTATAGATATTAAGGTAGTTGCGTCTAAAAACTTTACATTTATGGTCTCGACTCTAATAGATTGGAAGGTGTTAAGTGTAGATTTTGTAAACATTTTATATCTTCGTTGTGCACCGAAAACTTGCACAATATTTTTAATCTACATACCAAATATTTGATTTCAACAACTTTTAGCAAGTTTAGCAAAAGGTTTGTGAAAAGCGCTAAATTGTATTTTAAATTGTGATATTTTAGGTGAATTTTGAACTGCGATAGTTTAGTACTAATGGCTAAACAATATATGTATTAACAAAAAATGTGATATTTCTAGTATATAAAATGAAAATATGAATTATGTCTAAAAAGAAGATGACATTTTTACTGTATAATATGTATAAAAAAATAATATTGAATTCATATGTAATTATTTTTATGAGTACCTATACTTAGCTGATGTCAATTTTATTTCTTTTTTCGTTGAAATAAATATATGAATATTACAAATACATTTTACATTTAAAAATACCTATTGGAATACCATTATTGTTATATTATCAGTCTAACGTCGTTTAAATTATACTCTCTACAATTTCCTGATACCTATAACAATGATTTAAAATTTTCTCAAAATCGGTTAAATAGTTTTTGATTACCTACTTAAGCTACACATATACATTCAACTCTCATATTTGTTGTAATATAAAATTTATATTTATTCGAAACCATAAAAGCTATGATTTAATACATGCATTTGTAATGGATTTTGCTAAGGATTTTTTTTCTGAACATTTTGATAGTCAAATCATCAATTTTGGTTATCTAGTTTATTAAGTACTGAACTTGATCCAACTACCTACTTTATATGATACGACCTAAACCAATACCAAAAGTTATCAAATAGTTAGCAATTAATAGCAAATTTACTGTAGAAGTTAGCAAATAATTTTTTGAGGAAATTATACATATTTTTTATTTTTGCGTTAAAAGTTCAGGTAACCCACCAACTTTGCCGATCATCTCAAAAGTATACGATTCGTCTTGGTATTTTTTATAAGTTTCTCAAGTAAGTTATCTATATACCTGTAGGAACTCATATGATTATATAATATTCTTTTAGCAAACACCTTACAAATGTTTTATTCAACATTCATTAATACATATCACAATATGTTATGATTAGGGCTCGGATTTATATGTAAATACATATTTTTACTGTGACTTGATAAATTAATTTAGGTAAGTGATAAATTCGTTTCAAGGGATTTCCAATAAAATGAACTATATTTTATTTTACATATTTTTACATATTTTGCCATAAGTACATGTTTTTACATATTTCTCAATAATTCCATTTTTCCTACATATTTCGATAATTTGTTCATTTACGATTTATTATTTATTAATACAGACTTGCCCATGTTTAAAAAAGTACAAAATAATACTGTAGAACTTTCTCCTTCAGACATAGTCAACATGCAATATTGTCCTATAACATCAGTCGAAGTTGAGAGATATTTCAGTCGATATAAATCAATTTTACGACATAATCGGCGATCTTTCGAATTCGAAAATTTAAAAATGCATGTCATTATTAATTGTAACCATAATAATTAGATAGTTAGATAAATATTTTTTTTTATTACATTTCATTTTAATTAATAATAATATTTTTTTTTTTTGATAATACATATTATAAATTTTTAGCACATATTTATGTACATAATTTTGTTTTTTGATAATACATATTATACATTTTTTAGCACATATTTATGTACATATTTTTGTTGCATAAATACATACTTTGGTTAAATAAATACATATAAATCCGAGCCCTAGTTATGATTAATTAAATGTTTGTTGTATGCATAAATACCGTTACATGTAGGTGGTATAAAAATAATATTAAATGAATATTTTTTTGTTGTAGTTAGTAGCTAGAAAACACCATAATTCATAATATTATTTTATTTTATTCTTTCATCAATTAAATACACATAATGATAAAAATCAATTTTTAAATCCAGGTAATTTTTACTTTTTTTTATATTTGAACTGTATATATTATAATTTATAATACTAAATGTTTTATATTTTACTTTTAATTAATAAATTAAACTACAAATTACTTTCAATTAACAATGTTTAACATCATAAAACATTCGACTCACATGGTCAGAACAAGATAATATATAATATATTGATAATAATAATAATAATAATAATAATAATAGTTATAATAATAGTAATAGTCTAAGCAAAGTTAGTAACAAGACTAGATAAACAAATATAAGGTATACAACATATCCTCTTTTTTTTTTTTTAATTATATGATTTTAAATCAAATTAATTATACAAATTGATAAGAAGGAACCAATTGTTAAGATAATATAAACACTAAGACTATAATAAGTGACAAAATGAATACACGAATTTACAAATCATCAAATGAGTTATACTTTAACAGACAATGAATACTTATATAATATAAACAAGCTTAAATAACTAAATGCTTACAATATAATACATTAAATATTATTAAATAGTACTTAAATATGGACACTATGACTTTAACTAGACATCACAAGTAATAAATAATTATATATTTGCCTGTTACAAAATTCTAAATACTATTCATGCATTGTTCTTAAGTCTTATTATAACCATATCTCTCAACTTTTTTAACTTTGCGACCATACCTTGTAATGTTACTGTCTCTTTTTTCTTGCACATTAATATTATTTATTTCTTTTTCAGCTAGTATGTTATCTTTTTTCTCACCCATTTTGCTCTCATCATCAAAACCACTAACTAAATCATAATCTTTAACTTTTTTAATGAACTTTGAATTGCGCCTCAGTATTTTATCATTTACATCTTTGACTATATAAGATCTAGAGTAGGTACTTTGTTTTGTTAATAATAATACCTAGGAACCACTTTTTTTTAAGTACATTTTGAATGTAGACTTTTTGACCTACATAAAACTCTTTTTCTTCCTTTCCTGCATTTTTATTATAGTTCATTATCTGTTTATTTTTATTTTTAATTATTTCCTCCCTAGCATCAACAGCTATTGATGTTAAACACTCTTCATTAAAGTTATTTACTAAAGACCTTAATCTTCTATTTTGCTACAGCTGAGCAGGTGAATAATTTAACCCTGTTACAGGTGTGTTTCTGTTATTTAGTAAGTATATATTCAGATCACCACCTTCTTCACCAATTTTTTTTAACATTCCTTTAACTATATCCACCGATTTTTCTGCCAAGCCATTACTTTGATGAAAGTATGGACTGCATGTAATTAATTGTATATCCCACTGTTTACAAAAATTTACAAATTCTATACTGTTAAACGGATTATTGTCAGCGACAATATTTTTGGGTATGCCAAACCTACTAAATATTTTTTTAAGTTTTTCAACAACATCACTAGTAGTTTTACTTCTGATTTCTTCCACCTCCAGCCATCTAGAAAAGTAATCATTAACTACTTTATAATTTTTTCCTTGGAACTGTGCAATATCCATACCAATTTTTATATAAGGTAGTTCAGGAATATCATGACAAAGCATCGGCTCTTTTACCTTAGAACAGCTAAATTTTAAACAAACATTATATGATTATATAAAGCTTTCTATATCTTTCTGCATGCAGGGCCAATAAAATAACTGTTTAGATATCGACCAGGTTTTTGTCATGCCTAAATGTGTACTATGTAGCATTTTAATAACATAACTTCTTAACATTTTGGGTACTACTAACCTCATTCCAAAGTATATTAAGTCATCTTCTAATATTAATCCATTTCTTAGTTTGAAATAATGCTTCAATTCACCATCATGATTGTATTTGTTTGGCCAGCCAGTATTTAAATAATTGACAATTTGACTTAATGCTTCATCTTTCCTCGACTCTTTCTTAAAATCATCCTTTTTATTGTTTTCAAGTTTAATTTCAACTATTTCCATAGTATGTACTACATCATTTAACGACTCTTCGCTTTTCTCACTTCTTAATTTCTACTCAAAAGTCAGCTACGTACATGAGTTTACCAGGTAAATACTATCGTTGAGCCTGCTACTAACATATCATCAAAATATACATTTACGTTTTTAATGTTACCAAAATATTTAGAAGTAATTTGTTGAAACTTCTCTGGGGCAGAAGATATGTCAAAAGGCAATCTTAAGTGTTTATATCCTCCAAAAGGTGTACTAAAACGGCAATAATTTTGTGATTTCTGATCTAATTCACATTGATAAAATCCATCACGAAAGTCCAATAGAGTAAAATATTTTTTATTTAATTAATTTAATTTAATTTCTTCTAGTGTTGGTATTTGGTACATTTCCCTAACTATATTTTTATTAAGCTCCCTGGGATCTAAACAAACTCTCAAACTTTTGTCTGGTTTTTCAATTATTATTATAGGACTTTGCCATTCGCTTGGTTCCTTGCATTTTTCTATAATTTTTAATTCACACATTTTATCTAGTGTTTCTTTTAACTTATTTACTATTTTATGAGGTACTCTTCTTTGTGGGAAGATTTTAGGATTAGCGTCATCTTTAACTTTTATAGAAATTTTTTCTGGAAATTTTCCTAAACCATTAAATATATCATTATACTTTTGTAAGAATATCTTTTTCTGTTTTACAACTTTTAATTTCATTGACTTCTTTAATTTCATAATTTAGTTTTATACAGTCCTTTAACCCTAGTATTGGTAAATCATTGTAATTAACAACTTCAAAATAGGTACTAATTTCATTTTTAGAGTTTTTTTAATTTACTTTAACTTTTCCCAATGACTCTATTTTAAATCCTCCAAATGATTTAATAACTACTGAACTTTTCTCTAATTTTTCATTTTTCAATTTTTTTAATTCTTTAAGGGGCATTACATTCAACTGAGCTCCTGTATCTAATTTAATTTTTAATTCTTTTTTACTATCAATCACAACAATATCAGTCCAATTTATTTGATTCTCTGACTCAATGCTATTGAATGACAAATAAGTTAATTCTTTTTCTTCGTCATTACTATTATTACATTGAACCTCATGCACTTGTCCTTTATTAGCACCTTTTCTACACTTTACTGCAAAATGGTTGAGTTTAAAGCAATTATTACAAGTTTTTCCATACGTGGGGCATTTATTTATACCATGAGATATATCACATCTGTTACAACTAAATATTTTAACATTATTATTTTGACTTTCCCTGAATTTTTATTTTTATAATTTACCTGATTTTTGTTCTTATGCTCCTGTTTTCTTTGTGACTTGTTATTTTGCTTAATTTGACTCCATCCTTTTGATTTGAATTGTTGATGTTCTTCAATTTGATCCAGAGCTGGACTTTCTTTTTGAACCACACGTCGATGCATCTCGGCCTGTTCAACCACTTGACAATACTTGATGATTTTGGACAACGGCAAATCTTCTCTGAGTAATCTTGTCTGCAGGTCCTTATCATGTATACCCAGTACTATTTGTGAGCACAACAGAGTTTATTCAGCTTCTAAAAATGCACATGACTTGATAAGTAAGCGTAAGTCAGCATAGAATTTGTCAAATGATTCATTTTTATTTTGCTTTCTGGTAAAGTATTTATAATGCTCCATTACCACATTCTTTTTGGGTACACAATATTCTCCCAAACATTTGAAAATTGTTTCAATAGATGTATCTTCAATTTTAAATGTGTTAAACAATTTCAAACCATCTGTTCCTAAAAGGTTCAGTAGACGTGCCACCTGAACTTCTTTTGGTTTTTGAAATGTTTCAGTAGCCATGAAATAAACTTCTACTTCTTGCTTAAATGTTTTAAAGTTGTCATTTATATTACCGATCAATTTAAGGTTCGCCGGTCTGTTGAATTCCGTTTTCAAATTTTTTTTTTCGATTTGAATCCAGGCAATTAAACAATTATCACGTAGACGTTGGTTACTTCATATATAACTCCAAAGACTGCACCATGTTTTATATTTTACTTTTAATTAATATATTAAACTACGAATTACTTTCAATTAAAAATGTTTAACATCATAAAACATTCGACTCACATGGTCAGAACAAGATAATAAAAATATTGATAATTGTTAGAGAAGATGATGGAGGGTGTTCGGTGAAGGACCAGTCGACCTTAGTCGACGATGAAAATTTTGAACTGCCCTTAAGTGGATGGTTTATAGGCAACTTAATGCGCTCCTTGATGCTCAGTGCATAGGCAACCTAATATACCCATATTGGTTTCGTGCATAGGCAATTCTATATGCCCGTGACGAATCCTCGCGGCGGCGGCGACGGCGGCGGCAGGCAATATGAGGAATGAATGGACGGAGGTGGTACAACGGAGTCAAGGATGGTACAGTTTAATTATGGGGCCGGGGTCCCTGTGGTCTGATCGGTCTGGTGCAATGACCACCGGGCGCAATTATAATTCAGGCTGTACTTAAAATTATTTAAAAACTACGGCAGGTGAAGGTCCGGTCCGGTGAGCAATGCAATCCGACGACCTGGAGCGGCCACTCACACAACGCACTGGGTTGCTGGCGGACTTACGCGCTTGAGTCTGGCACCAGTCCCGAGCTCGGGCAAAGAATTGGATTCTCCACGAAGGCTGGCAGGAATGTCGTGATTATATTATATCCGTGTACTCACTCGATCGACTGCGGTTGAAAATGACAAGCACGAAGTGTGCCAAGACGTCGAAGTTGGACGTTGACGCAATGTCAACGACGGGCGATGATTTTAAAAACAGACAACTGCAGGTGATTTGAAGTTTGCCGCAATGGCGTGAACAGAGATTTTATTGCGTGTAATTAACGATACAGAATAAGATATATTGGGTCTCGTGTATATAATATACGACGAGACAAGCGAACAACAGGTACGACAAAAAAAATCCGAATGATACGGCAATAACAACAAGTGGAATTGATATCATTAACAACGATATCAATTATACATAATAATTAATATTTTACATAATGATAATTGAGAGAAACAATAGATAGGAATAATAATTTTAATGGCGCATGCAATTAGAGGAAAACAGATAACACCGATTTCTGCACGGGCACGCGGAGCTTGCGGGGGTTCAGTCATGGACCTTTGATCGCTGCGACGCGGACGATACTATTACGATGTGTCGTAACAATAATAATAATAATAATAATAATAGTAATAGTCTAAGCAAAGTTAGTAACAAGATTAGATAAACAAATATAAGGTATGCAACACTAAAAACATACCTAATAATGATATAAAAACTAATAATCAACATATTATGTTGATGGTGAATGTTTTAGTAAAAACTAGAGCATCGTTATCAGTTGCATAAATACAAAACATTGAATTTGGTCTTTAAACCACAGACATTTTGATAATAAATATTAAGATTTTATACATTATCATTTAACTATTTATGTTTTTCGATACTTGAACAATAGCAGGATAACTTTTTAAATAACGAATGATGATATTTTGTTCACTCTTTTCTTTTCTGACATCAATTTCTTTGGATAACATTGAAGTGATCTTTTTGTTTTTGGTGTCCTAAATAATCAAAATACACGGGGAATGTATTGTATAATGATTGGCTTGTGCAGATTAATATTTATTTTCTATTGATATAACATATAAGGTACTGCTATTTATTATGCATGGTATATAGTCGCGTAGGTAGATTAATAAATAATGCGAGTTATATGATACTGGGTGTTACGAATTTATTGTTGAAGCCGATAACTAATGAGCCACCGACCGACACTCACACACCCACACGCACAACATCACTGTTGACGGTTTTGGTGAGAAAGGGTTTAAGTCATATTTTGGATATTTTGGGTTTATGCATGAATTTTATATGATTTTTTAAGCCGCATCGTTTGGTGGCAATGTAATTGTTCCAAGTGTTACTGTTATCATGCTATTAATACGTGCTTTTGGGTACAAGTCAAAATACAATAAAATATTTTGTGAGAAAAGGGATAAGTCACTCAGAAACACTACAAACTTTTTATAATTTTATTTACGAACGTGATCGTCTCCATTGGTAATAACGGATAATAAGATATAAAGTAATTAATATGCTTTTGAATTTATACTAACTAGTTTTTGTTGTTATTATCAAATTTGATACTATCAAAATATTAAATATTTATGAATAGCTTATATGAAATAATATTATTACATATTTCATTATAATAAATATTATGTTTTTACTTTTTATCAACTATTTTAATTTTTTGTTATTCTTAAAGTAAGGATCTCACTAAGCTTTGTAAGTTTATTTTTTAATACTTTTAGGATATTGAATTTTAAAAGTTATTTTAAACGAAATGTTTTTACATCTGTTTTTATGTTAATATTTTATTATTCTTTTTTGTTAGTAATATTTAACTAATAAAAATATTTATTTTCTTGAGAAAAGGATTTCTATTTGTTTTTATTTAATTATTTTACAAGTGCAGATAATAATATATAAAAAAAAATATATTATTTCTTGTTACTTATTCCCTTTCTCACAAATATAATTGAAATTTATTCATGATAAAAGAATTAAGTCAAATGTGATAAAAGACATAAGTCAATAAATTTTAAAATATCTTGTGCAATTGGACACAAGTCATCTATAAACACTTGTTTAGTAATTGTGTACTAATAATTGTCATATAATGTGTGAAAAAGTACATATAAAATGGTAAAAATTGCTATTGTTCATAATTCATATATTTACTTCATTATATAAGTTATCGAGTTTTTTTTGTCTCCTGAAAAATTGTATAATTTGACTTATACCCTTTCTCACCAAAACCGTTCGTTTATTTGCATTGTTTTATTTCTGTATTTAGCGTCGTGTGTCAATTGTATAATATGTTATTATTGTTATATTATTGTATCTATTTAAATGTAACTGGTGAGTTATAAATACCTATATTTTTAATATATGGCGCCGATTCGGCTAATTATGATTTAGCACGACTGCCGCAATTTATGATATTTTAGTCAAGGTGATACATGAATCTCACAGTCGCGAATCGCCGATAATTAAATTGTATTTTTTAATATTCTTGTGCCTGAAGTTAATTAATTGCCAGACGCAAATCATCAGTGTTTTTTACCACTTATATATTATTATTGTTTTTAAATATTTCAAATGCGCACATCGAAGTTCTTATTGTTATAATTTATTTATGTGTGCGCTAATCACCACTTTTTATGTCATACTCGTGTGTATAAATCGAATGTGTCCATTCTAATTTATTTAGGTACAGGTAGCTAAGAAGTGCAACATTTATTGAGTAAAATTAAAATTTACATACAGAAATAATTATTAAAAAATATATTGATGTGCATCAGCTAATATTAAAACTATATACTAGAACTACTAGAACTTACATCAGTTGTATTTATTCCATTTTAGCTTTTTTAGCTTTTCTTAAACTGGTGGATTAAAAGTTCACTGAATAGTCAACTTGTTAACATATAAGCTAACTATGTTATTACACCTTGCGGCTATGCCTCATATGTGAGCCTTGCACACTTTAAATGCTTAGTTAAGTTAAATTTAACTTAGCTTTTTTTTTTCATTCAATAATTTTTATTGAGTTATTAATATAATTATTACTAGTTCTTATTCTTTTTTGGATATAAAAATATATTAGTGAACTTTTAACTTAACTTAACTTACTCATCTTACTTCTTCTTGGATAAACTTCACTCGACGACTTAAAACAAAAAAAAAATTAATTACAAAGCCTACATTGGATCGACCTTATAATTTTTGACCTGCTTAAAAAGAAATAAGTTATATTATTTTGCTTTAGTAACACATATTATACCATCAATTTTAGATAATTGAAGAAAAAACGATGGAAATCTTTAAAGACTGGGCAAATAAAATAGATGTTAATTCCATTGACAAAGATATTATGTATACCAAAAATATTTCAATGTACAGTTTTTTAGTGTTCTTCAGTTTCGGAGAAAAATATGAAGATAAATTAGAAAATATAATCAAAGCAATTCAATTGCCGGTATTATCGGTCGAAGTAAGTAGTACATTTATAACTTTAACCTATGTAGGGATGCTTTAGAAATAATTTGAATAAAAAAGAATGAAGTACCTTTGTTCGAACACTGATGTGGTTTCATACCACCGTAGCTTCGGCTTATCTCTCATTGGTGCACCAGGCGAGAGGCGGCTTACCCACTCATCGGTCCAGTTTCCGACTGTAGGCCGTTACTCGTTAGGTACCTTTCATAGGCCGAACCTCCAATTGTTACAAAATTGTTTTTTCCTGACGGTTGAGGTCAAAGCTGCGTTGCGTCCACTTGAAGCCGCATGTACATTCGACGCGTTCGATGATAAGTTGTCTTTCCTTTCCTTGCTGTTCGAGAGTCAAGTCAGACTAAGTATCTCGTTTTTGTAAACCGGAAAATCGTAAACCAAGATAGTCGCTGTGAGTGGGTCCATGTGAACTCAGGACCAGTATGAGTGTCACCTTTCTAGCCTGGAATTTGGGGATACATTGCAATTGCGGAGATTAAGGGTTCAATCAATCGTCTTCATGTCAGTACCATAGAGACTAGAGAGTGCCACCAGTCATGCCGTACGTTAGATAATATTGTGGTTGAGGGTAACACGCCAGCAATAGTTTGGATATGTACTTGTATTATCGTGTGTATACGCCGATTACTTCGGACATACACAATAAATGAATAAACAATAATGTAAGCACCATTAACAAAAGTTGGTGTCTGGTGAATATCGATTCACACGATCACCACTACTCACTCCACGTTCGTTTAGTCCTATCACTCATATATTATCACTTCACCAAGTCTTTATTTTGCTACATCTGCTAAAAGTTACTGACTAAGACTTAATACTAACTATTGTAACACATTACATACATGTTTACTTAATCTAGTTAATATTTGTAATATTAATTAATTTGAGGTTTATGCGATTTCTTTTTATCAATAATTATGTTCGATAACAGTTGGTACAAAAGTATTCACGTTAGACAGCTCACTTCAAGGACCTTGTTTTTTCTATTAAAAAGTACCAATCCTAATTACTAAGTAGATTAAAAACACTAGGTACCTACTAAATTACACTCAATATCATACAGATATCATATAGAACAATACTAATTATAATATTTTTTAGGATAGATTATTAAACTATAAAGCAAATCAATTGGCAGAGGAATTTATTTCATTCTGTTTGGATGAGTCTGAGTTATCATATTATATGCCTTGTTATTCGAAAATTAAAAAACAGATGGAACAAAATCAGGGTAATTATATTATTATTAATATTTTTATGATAGATAGAATATAAGTCGACAATATGTAGAAATTGTTTCATATTATTAAGTGGGAAGAAGTATTCGAGTGGGTAAAAAACCGGTATCTCTCAGTCTATATTATAATGTATTTATACTTATTGCTTGATTACCGCTAAAAACCGGTGTTTTTAGGGTTTCCAGCTTTAATTATGACGGCGTAGTGATGTTCTCTACACTCGACTACGTTAGTGAGGACACATCCTTTGACCTTTTTACTCAGTGGTACAACTTGATTTATGACACATTCTGTTGACCTAACGTATCTTTGAAATTTTGTCAAAACAATATTGATTTGGCCGCTTGAATCAATAAACTAATATTGGCCATCGCCCAATAAAACCGTAAAATTACACGGAAAAAAAAAATTACTAAAATATTATAGTTAAACAAAATATAGTAAATATAACTATTAAATAGTTAAAATACCTAAAATGATTTACTTATTATGACTATATAAATATAGTTATTTGTTATGGTAATGTTTACTATATTTTATAGTGTTAACGCAATGACGCAGATTTGAATGTTTGAATTAACTAAAAAATATAGTTAAAATAGTTTACTAATATTAATAGTTAAAAAGACTATAAAATTAAGTATAATGTATACTTTGTGTTAAATAATATTGTTCGGGAAAAATACGATTTCCAATTAGTAATCAATTCATTTAAAGACGTTTACAGTAACTGTTAAGTCGTTAAATAGTCTGGGTTAGAAATTCGCGTTGTCCGGAGAAAATGGTTCAATTTTGACAATTTTAAACGAACTATTCTAACAGTACCTGTTATATACTCATTAATAATCAATATATACCTCCGATGAGCTTTCTTTGAAACGTTAATGATTTAGGCATTTAGCTAATAGTCGTCTGGATTTTACACGAGTGAATGTTACGAAAACATTTAATACCTATTACACCAAGGCATTCGATACTAGAGCTTACGCGGTATGAAGATAAAATGTACTACGAATTCAAAGATTATAACGTTGCAGTTCGGCAAGTACGCGATTCTTGATATTAGGTAGGTATTAGAATAGAACTATTAGAATCGTATCTATATATTGCAATTTGCAAACGATTATTGCAAACGAACCAGTGGCCATGACTGCGCGATGGTCCACCTGTGGTTACCACTCATCTGTCGTCACTCGTCAGTCATCACTATTTAATCAAGTCAACAGTAAACAGTGAAACAGTGACATAGTTGAATAGAAACACCGAGAAGTTCACAGTTCTACAAAATAGCGATATTTTTTGAAGTTAAGACGGTAAGTTTTGATTTATGCAAAATAATATTAAGTAGGTAACTACACAGTTGATTATATTTTTAAAGTTTTTGTTTCATTATTCAAATTCAAATTGATTTTAAATTAAGTTATGATGTATTAAGCATTGGATAAGGTTTATTGCTACCAATCATACAATTTTAGAGAGTAAATTATTTTACAATAACCGCAGATTTTACCATCAATCTCAATTCTATTTCATTTTTATACCACTAACTATTTACCGATTTATCTGCAACATCAAATATGTCCTACGACCTACACTCTCCACGATTCCAATTATTCTGTCTCACTTTCAATAAAGTTACTACTAAATGTCTAAATAATACGCCTCTATTCAAAAAAATTAAATGTGACTACAATACATATTATATAAAGGTAAAGGATGTATCTATTTAAAAAGTATTATATAATTGGTAGGTAGTAGGTACCTAAGGTACCTTTGCCCTTTGTTATTAAACATCGAGACCTACCTAAGTTATAATATAATATTTTATTTTTCTTAAAATATTTTAATCTATCACATAGGAAATATTTTCATACTCAATATTCTTTATTATTTAATTATTTTAAAATATTCTTAACCAATTCATATAAATATAAATGTTGTACAACACTACTACACTAGGTAATAATTTGACTGTAAATTTTTATAATGTCTGTTATACGTAAAACGTGCATTATGTAAACATATTTAGTATATGTATACTATATTTTAGCATATTATAATATATGACAAGTAATTTGTTTTGCCAATGTATTATTTCATATATTTAGATATGGATGAATTCACAAAAAATTGGTTAAATAACGTGGGGCTTAAACATTTGGTCAATAAGTTTGAAGGTAAAGTATTTTGAATTTTAAATTAAAACACGAATAGGGATAATCAATATTATAATATTAGGTCAATAGGTACTGTTTTTGGTTTTTATTTTAATTACCCTATGAGAAATGATTTAATGCTGTAATAGTTGGTAGTCAATAGAATAAAACCAATTTAACTTTGATGTGAATGAAATATTTCAATGCACTTTTCAAACGAGTTCTTGAGTTCTTCTAACTTAGTATTGATGGCGTTTATGTTTCTTCTATCTTACACAGTACACACGCGACACGCGTAACAGTAAATCTACGTCCACCCATCTAATTCTTACTACAGTTTATTCATAGTTATTATTAGTAAATTTACATTTATCGACTTTGTAGATGCGAATATAAACTGTACTCGAGCGAAAAGTATTGTTTTTATAATATGTTTATTGTTTATTTTAAAATATTTATATATATTTTAAATTTTAAATAATTCAAGTACTTAAAACACATACAAAAATAAAAAATATGGGATAAAATTCTTAGCTCAAACACATTTTATATTTTCCTCTAAAAGTTAGGTATTACGTCAATTTTCTCTAAAATTAACCATAAACAAACTGTAGTTACAATCTGGCGTGTGTAGATTTATTATGTTACGAGTGTGTATAACGCCTGGGTACGTCCTCTTAAGCTAAGTATTTCATATAATTATAGTTAATACTTATTAGTTATTATTACTAAACAATATTAATTTTCAGAAGAAGAAATTAATGAAACTAATTTGTTGTTGCTGACGGAATCATTGTTAGTTAATTTAATTCCAAAAATGGGTCAAAGGGCTTTGATAATAAATGAGTTGGAAAAATTAAAAAAATCAAATGAAGTAAATATGCCTATTTTTATAAATCCAATATTTTTTAAATTGAAATTAATACCTACATAAATAAGTATTCCTCACTCATAATTTTTGATTTTCTTGTAACTTGTAAGGCTACCCAATTTGAAAACATAACGCCAATAACAATTGAATCATTGATGAATATGGGTATTGTTATACAAGAAAAAGGTAACTAATAAAAATGTGATGAAATGTAATTTTCCTAACTTGGACTAGGTATATTTAATTGGAAGATAATCATTTATATTCATCATTATAATTAAGTTTAAATTATTTATTATAGATTTAATATACACTCCAGATCCTTTGAAGACAGTTGTAATAGACGATACTACAAACAAATCGGGTACTCATCAGTTATCATATAATTTCCCACTAATCATTTATTTAAATAATTAAATATTAAACTTTTAATTTTTAATATTATTATTTATATAAAAATAGTAAAATAATAACAATAAATATGTGTAATATACCTACCTAAGTAAAGTTACCTATATATTTTGTATCTAATTTGAATAGATATATTAAAACCAAGTATTTTTGATGTGTCAGATGCTGAAGGTTCTGCAGATAGTGAGCAACCCATAGATGGAAATTCTAGTAATACTAGGAAATTTTGAAATAATTTTTTTATGCTAATAATTACAAAATTTAAGTTATAGACAATTTCATTAAAACAATATTGGAACAATACCAAGATGGTCTCTTTATCCTCCAACATTATGTTTCAAATAGATGTTTAAATTCTAAAATGAGAAATAGACTTTGTGGAGTGTTAATTAAGCATGAATTATTCAAATCTGAAGGGACAAATAGAATTGATTCGCTACAATTTTCAAAAATTGCAAAAGGTTCTTATTTTATTTTTAAATTATTTTAGAGAGTGATATAATTTACATATATTTAATTTGTTTTTGTAAACATAAGACAAAAATATTTTAAATATAGATTATTAATTTTGTTACTGTCAAATACAATACTGCCTGTTACATATTTTTTATTTTTTTATTATTTTTTAAGTAAATGAGAACTTAATTTTTATTTTTATTTCTAATATAACATCAACCTATAAATATTTTCAACATTATTATTTATTTTAATAATATTTAAAAATGTATTTATTAATGTATCAGTTTTTAGAATAAAGTACTACAATACTGATATGTTAAAAAAATGTTTGTTATAACATAGGTACAATTTATAACATGCTCTTTTACTTAAACATTAAATTCATAGTAATATTACTAACTTTTCTTATTTATTGAAGATTTTTAAAAATAATTAATAGTATGTATTAACACTGGAATGTCAAAATTTTAGGTATAGAAGAATTATTCCCTTCAGAAACCCAACACGTTTATTTTATTCCTTATTACAAAGAAGGAAATAAAGTTAGCCCTAATAGAGGGAAACTTTATGATAAGTATTGCAATATAAAAAAGAAATAAGAAAAATCAGAACACAAAATATTAAACCTTGTGATAATGAAGTTTTCTCAAACGTAGAAGGTTATAATAATATAATTACTTTTATTATTCTAGTTCTAATTTAAAATGCACCTTTCATCAAATAATGTTATGTTTATTTTAAAAAAACAACTAATTAGGTATCAATTTTTAAACTAATTTACTAACTATATTTATATAAAATAGATATTTTAGATTCACTTGTATGGTT